GCGGCGTGGCGCGGCAGGCCCTGGATGTCGCGGAAGAGGTCCTGCTCCTCCAGCTCGAACAGGCGCCGGTTGTCGGGCACGAGGAGCGGCTGGGACCAGAAGGAGCCGATGTAGACGCGCAGCACCTCGGGCGTGCCCACCACCTTGCCCAGCGCCCACATGAGCGCCCCGTACACGCGCATCAGCTGCTGCGTCTCCACCATGTCGGCCTTGTTGAGGACCACGCGGATCTTGTCCTCGTGGCCGCGCAGGGCGCCGATGGCCTCGGAGAACTCGTCCGAGATCTCCAGCTTGTGCGCGTCGAAAAGCAGGATGATGAGGTCCACGCGCTCGGCGAACCAGCGCAGCACCGCGGGGAAGTCGTAGCCTGGGAGAAGACGACCGGACGGAGGTCAGTCCCCACGCTCCGGCCATCCGAGCATCCATTCCTTAGGGCTGATAGCAGACTGTCCAGATGCTCAGGTGGGTAACTATGCTCAGGTGGGTAACTATCAAACGCCCTGCCTAGGAGAAACAGCCAGGCCCGGGTGCACCCCACTGCTCTGGCTTCGCAGCCCCCAGAATGACCCCCATCAATCTGGCTACAGTGGCGATCACATGCGTTCACTCTGCAGATACCAGTGGTGTGCCCTGGGCCGCATATACGGGTTGTTAAAACACTGACCTGTTTCCTAACAGACTCCCCGTGCTCCTGTGGGCCCCCCAGTCCCTCAAGTGCCTCCAGAACCTCCCCCTAGACCTGTCTGATCGCCCCTCAATCCAGTAACTAGGGAGCTCATGTCGGCCCTGGCTATGGACGCTCCTGCCACAGCCGATGTGAAACATTTTAAATTTCTTTAACAATATTTATCGAGAGCTTTCCGTGTGCCAGGCCCTGTCCCGGACCTTGGGTTAACACTGCGGACACGCGGACAAGGCCTTGGCCTTCGTAAAGTCCCCATCTCAACGACTGGCTCCTGGGTTCATTCATTCATTCATTCATTCATTCATTCCTTTCACCCTTCATTCTTTCATTCACTGATTCTTTCGCACCATTCACTCCCGAGCGATGCTTGGGAGAGCAGAGAGGTCAGTCAGGAGGACCTGGGTTTGAGTCCCGGCTCTGCCTCCATCAGCTGTGTGACCTTAGGCAAGAAGAAAACCTCTCTGAACCTGTTTCCTCTTCGGTAAAATGGAAACCACAATAGAAAATACCCCACAGGACTGTTGTGAAGATTCAAAAGATATAAATGAGCTAACGTATATAGAGCTTAAAACAATGTCTGGCACTGAACTAGACACTTAAAGTGGGTGACTTTGGGGCTCCTTGTGGCCACCCGGAATGCACAGGACGGGTGGGGGACACTGTTCAGAGGGAGGCTGGGCGGGGTCAGTAGAGGGACGGCAGCTGGGTCCCCTCCCTCCCTCCGCAGCGTCCACGCAAACACACACGCCAGCCCGGATCTGGAAAGTGTGTCTCACGCAGGAGGGAAGGGGTCAGGGAGGGAGGAAGGGAGGGTGAGTCAGCGTGGGAACAGGAGACGCGGCCGAGCAGGGCCTGGGCGCATGCGCGCTCGCACAGGCAAAGCGGCCACGGTCGCGGCGGCGCTTGCACAGCCTACTGTGCGCCACACTCTGTTTTCAGCGCTTCCAAGGTTTTAACGTTTAATTTTAACCTTCGGTGCAACCTATGAGGCGGATACTATCATTACTCCCATTTTACGGAAGAGGAAACTGAGGCATGAAACGGCCAAGCAGTTTTGGCCTGAGGTCTTAGAGTTTAAAAATAGCAGAGCCCAGATTTGACCCCATCAGAGGGCCCCATTCTGCGACAATCACACACATGCATGTTCACAGAGATTACATGCAAAAGCAGCCACACACGCCATCGATGCACACACACACACACACGAGCGTGCACACGCACAGGCGTGAGCCCAGTAGCACACACCTGGTCACACACAAGATGCAGACCTCCCAGACACACCCGTGCTCACGATCTAGGACCTACACAGATATTCATGGTAATACAATTACACAGACACTGTGAGAGCCACACAAAGTCCCAGACACCAGCACGCACACGCAAGCACACAACTGCACACAGAGACACCATCGCATGCAGTCACACGGAATCAGCAAAGTCCCCTCCGTCCTACGCGGCCCGACACGGCCACACGATGTCACACAGAGGCACCACCGCAAGCCCAGTCCCGACGTGAACAGACATATCCACACACCCAGTCTCTCACACACAGACTCACGGCCTTAGAGTCACACCCATACTTATACACTTTCCCAGACACACTGAATTACACGGTTACACACAAAAGATTCCCTTGCACACACACACTCACGCCCACGTCTCACAATACAACCACACACAGAGACACAATCCATCGCGCTCAACCCCATAAAGTCCCCCATAGTCCTTCAGAGGCACAAAGTCACAGCCAGCCACAGCCACAGGGTCCCAGACGCACAAGCGCACGCACACACACACACACACACACACACACACACACACACACACGCCGTAAAAACATAATGAATGTGTGTTTGAGAAAAGGTCCATGGAACTGACCGTCACCCGGCCTTGCATCTCCCCGCGCCCGGTGCCCCTGGGGCCCCCGATCCGCGGGCCTGGGAGCCCCGCTCCTTCCCGCTCTCCCAGACCCCGCCCCCAGGCTGAGGGCGCCCCGCCCAGCCGCCTCCACAGCTGCCCCTGCCTTTCTCCACCCCCCCACCACCCCGGAGTGCACCCCGCTGGGCCGCAGCCAGGGCGGCAGCAACCCTCGGGTCCTTGTCCCGCCCCGCGGCCCAGCCTCCCGGTCCCCTCTGGCCCACACTGCAGCCTCCTTTGCCCCAGTTCCTGGCCTCCGGGGCGTGGGGTGGGGACAGAAAAGCTGGGGTGGGGGTGCGGGGCGCAGATGCTGAGCCCAGTGGGGCAGCGGTGGGGGCCGCGCTCTGGAGGCCCCGCTGGAATTCGCCCCCCCTCCCCTGCACAGCTGTTTATAAATTCCAGGCCCGGCCTTGGCCGGCGCCCAGAACCCCCTCCCAGCCCCTGCTCAGCCCCATCTGTGGCCCAGACCCAGCCAGGAGCTCGCAGTGCCCAGGGCCTCCCTGGCCGGCTCTGCCTCGTCTCTGGGCTGGAGTCTCCGTCTTTTAGCCTCGCCCTGCGAATCTATCTCTGACTTTGCGTCTGTCCGTCTCTCTCTCCTGATCTCTCCCTCCGACTTTCGACTTTCGGGCCCAGACGTGCAGCTGCAGCGTGCTCACACGTGTTCCCCCACTGCCTCCCCAACCAGCAAGTGTGCCAGCTCGGAGAGTCGCAGCCTCCCTTCCAGCAGCTCCGGGCGGCTGGCACAGGGGCACGTCTTAGCGGAGGGTGGGGCCCCCTCCCTGAGACTCGGGGGTCCAGGCGCCCAGCCCCACCCTCCTCAGACCTGGGAGTCCACTCCTCCAGCCCCCTTCTCCTCCCCCAGACCTAGGGGTCCAGACCCCCAGGCTGCTCCTGAGATCCAGGGGTCCAAGCCCCCCGGCCCCTCCTCTTTCAGACTTCGGAGTCCAGGCCCCCAGCTCCCTCCTCTCCCAGACCCAGGGGTCCAGGCCCTCGGCCCCTCCCCACTCAGACCCAGCGGTCCAGCCTCACTCACCGCGGCTCACTCTCTGTTTGGCCCCTGACAGGATGCCTGGGGTGTCTATGATGCTGATGCTCTCCAGGACCTGGTTGGGGAGCTGGGCGCACATGAACCTGGGCGGAGGGAAGGGTTAGGGTCAGTGCGGGGAGAGGCAGGAGGGGAGGACCCACAAGGAGGGGAACCGGGACTGCACAGAGGGTGACTCAGGTCCGGGGGACCGAGGACTCGAAAGCGAAAAGGGAGATCAGGACAGAGAATAGAAACTATAAAAAGAATCAAAGCCAGTGCTCACTGAGCACGTGCTTCGCGCCAGGTGCTGCTCTGAACACTTTATGAGCATCGATTCACGTAGTCCTCACAACGACCCCATGGAGCAGGGATTACGGTCACCCCCGCTTTCCAGATGAGGGTAAGAAAGGCACAGAGAGGTTAAGTCGTGTGCCCAAGGCCACTCGCCTGGACAGGCGTGGAACCCAGGTGGCCGGCACCGCTGGCCGGAGAGCAAGGGCAGGACGGGGGACGATCGGGCAGAGAGAAGGGAGCTGGGGCTGACAAGGACAGATGAGGATTGAAGGGACGGAGACGGGGGCCAGGGCCAGGGGGACGCTCCCCCCCCCCATCCCCCAGCTCTCAGCCGCACACCTGTTATTTGCGAAGGGGTTGAGTTTTCGAAAGGGCTTGTCCGGGTCCACGACGAGAGCGTTGCCCGGCACGGTGCCCTCGGTCTCACCGTGCATGACGGCCACGAAGCAGTCGGTGGTGGGCTCCGGCCCCACGCGGGAGCCTGGCACCTCCTGCTCCAGCAGGTACTGGATGAAGCTGGTCTTGCCTGTGCTGTACTGGCCGGCCACCAGCACCATGGGCTTGCCGTCGAAGTCGGCATCCTCCAGGGCCGGGGAGTGGAAGGCCCCGAACCGGTAGTGCTCCTCCAGAGGCAGCAGCTTGGTGCGGTACAGCTCCTTGAGGGCCGAGGTCACCGTGCGGATGGCCTCCGGCTGCTGGCCCCGCGCCCCGCCCCGCTTCAGCCAGCTGAACATGGCGGCGGCACGCTCGCTACCTGCTGGGCTCGCTGGGGGAGGCGCTCGGGGAGAGGGCTGCCTTCGCCTGCGGGAGAAGGAGGGGGTGTCGACGGGAGACAGCCTGGTGGAGGAGCAGAAGGGAGGGAGCTCCAGGTGGAACGCAGTGGCATGGGGGGAGGACGAGGAGCACAGAGCTCTGACGGTGGGTGGCAGGAGGTGACGGCTGAAGGTGACTAGTGCAGCTGGAAGAAGACAGATTAACGAGAGAATGAATGAAGAAGGGGGGCTGGCGGCGGAAGAGCAAGGGATGGACACAGGGAAGGATGCGGAAGCTGCCCGGGAGAGATGGGTCCCATTCTTCTCTCCCTCCCTTCCCCCCTTCCATCCTTCCATCCATCGTCCCTGAAGTCATCCATGCGTCAGGAGCTATGGACCCAGAAACGTGCCAGAGACCGGCCCCGACCCACTTAGAGACCCCAGTGAGGAGAGGGCCCGGGCACCGAACAGTCACAGATGCCTAGAAAATGCCAGGCAGTGGAGTCGTAGGCACCAAGCATGACGAACTGGCCGCGGGAGCAGCAAAACTCGAGATGGGCTGATTTTTGAGCTGCTCCCTGAAGAGTGGGCGCGACAAGGCATTTGGGCAGAGAGGATGGTGCAAGGGCCCGGAGCTGTGAAACGTGGGTGGGGTGACTGGACACGAGGGGCACGAGGAGGAGGGCCGAGAAATAAAGGCGAAGAGTCGCCCAGGTGACGAGGGACCTCGGACGCTCGCAAAAATAATAACTCGACATTTACGATCACCGCACGCGAGACACTGCTCTACCTCATTTAATCTTCATAGAGTAGGGTTATCATTATCCCCACTTTTCCAGCAAGGAAACAAACGGAGGCCCCGGAAGACTGCCCAAAGCGCTAGAATGTGCTCGAGCTGGAACTTCAGGCGACCTGACCTCAGAGTCCCAGGTCTAAGGAGTTAGGGAGGGAAAGAACCACCAACCCAGGAGCAGTGAGCACCCCTCAGCTCCGAGGCCGTGTTCTCTACATTCCTTTACTTGCCTTGCATTCTCTGTAGGATCTGTACTGATGTCCCCTCCTTCATTCCTGACACCAGTCTTTTGTGCTTTTGCATTTTTCCCTTTGATCAGCCTAACCAGATGCTTATAATTTTACTGATCTTTTCACAGAACCAGCTCTTGGACGGATGGGAGGCTCAAAATATCCTTTTCCACTAAAAAGAACCGGGGCTCCTTAGGAAAATGGCCGATTCTGGGGCTGGATGGAGCAGGGAAAGAATAAGTGAGCCTGCATCGGAGATGGGACATGTCACAGGGACGCAGGACCCGGCTGGATGGGACTCTCACTGGCCCAAGAGGGGACGATTTGAGCACCAAAAATAACCGCAAATCAAAGAGATTAAAGATCTACAAAATCATAAGGATTCTAAAAAAGAAAAAGGGAAAGGACTCGGCAGGAGAGAGAAAAAGAGGCAGGAATTCGGACTTGGGAT